AAACTATAATTTTGCCTGTGGTTCTGTATGGGTGTGAAACCTGGTCTCTGACATTAAGGGAGGAACATAGACTGAGGGTGTTTGAGAACAGGGTGTTGAGGAGAATATTTGGATCAAAGAGAGATGAAATGACAGGAGGTTGGAGAGAATGCATAATGAGGAGCTTCATAACTTGTACTCTTTTCCAAGTATAATTAGAATGATCAAGTCAAGGAGGATGAGGTGAGCAGGTCATGTAGCATGAATGGAGGAGACTAGGAATATGTATAGGATATTGGTGGGAAAGCCAGAAGGAAAGAGACCACTCGGAAGACCAAGGCGTAGGTGGGTGAACAATGTTAGAATGGATCTTAGGGAGATAGGACAGGATGGTATGGATTGGATGGATCTGGCTCAGGATAGGGACCAGTGGAGGGCTCTTGTGAACATGGTAATGAACCTACAGGTTCCATAAAATGCTGGGAAATTCTTGAGTAGCTGCAGAATTGGCGGCTCCTCCAGAAGGTCTCAGCTCTATGAGTAAGTAAGTAAGTAAGTAAGTAAGTAAGTAAGTGAGGATCTTCAGGATGACCCAAGAAGCAGACGACTTTCAACCTCTCGAACTGTATAAACAATCGCAAATGTGTCTGATGTTTGTTATATTATATGGCTACACTAGTTCGTCGACAGGCTCACAGGTTGATGGCAGATGAATTAAACATCAATACGAAAACTGTTCGTCAAATCGTCCTTGAAGATTTATGGAAGAGTAAGATCAGCACAGAGTTCGTCCCACACAGACTCGCAGATGAGCAGAAATAATGGAGGTACACATCATGCCAAGAATTCATCCAGACTTATCAAGACAATCACAACATTCTCTTTCCTAAGGTGAAAACTGCCCTCAAAGAAAAGAGGTTTCTGGATGCTGAAGACATTAAGAAAAATGTGATGGCCAAACTGAACGCTGTTGCTTTGGAGACCTTTGCCGACTGTTTTCAAAAACTTTTTAATCAATTCAACACATATACTCAAAATTTTTAATCATTTGTATTTTTTGTTTCTTTTTTGCACCAGTCCGGGAACTTTATTTGGAGACGACCTATAATGCAGGCATAACCTGAGCAAGGTGTAAGAATTAAGTGTCTCCACCCTACTCCCTTCCACACTTACCACTTTACACTCAATATTGCATATCCCATGCCACTCAATTCAGTATCTTGGAATATAAACTGGAATTTAAATATGAACAGCTCTTTAGTTTCCCATTGGTGCAAATGATTACTCCTCTTGAATGGTAAGGATTCTTAATGTGCCTTTGTGCTTCTTTAAGAAAATTCAAACATTATGTCTCCTTAGTTCTTAATGGTTATAGCTATACATTTTCAGGAATAGAGAAAACAAGGATACAGTGTTTGAAACATGAATAGTTGAACACAGTAGATAGAACAAAGGGGAATTTTATTTTTCTACTTTCTATTGTGACTTTATTCAGTTAAATCATAGCTATACAACCAAGATGCCCTTTACAACCTGAGAAATAATGAAAACTGTAGATGGGACTATTATGAACGGAGCAAATATTTGTCGCATTTCCGTGAATTACATTAGAGACCAGAACCCTTCATCGAGGGGGGGAGGCTCAGATGAAGAAGTCTACCTGTTTTCAAATGCGCCAATTAGGGGAAACTATATTGGTGTGTCATATTTGACGTTCTAAAGGTACTTAATGTGAAGCTTATGGTCATCATTTGATAGATAGGTATCACATATTTGCAAAGGAATATGATCTAATAATTTAATTATTGACATTCATGATCCCCTGCGTGACTAACAGTCATGTTAAGAGATGAGACTAAAATCGAATGCCCTTATGATTTCAAATGTTTTGCTGTAAAACATATCACTATTAAATCTCAAGAATACAAAACATATTTTCATTTAATAAATGTGAACAAACAATATAGGGCCTATGCCATGTGTATTCATAATGGGGTAGCAATACATGCTACATTTAGACATCACAGTATCAGTAATTAACACAAATGGTCAATTTTTACAATCCATACTTTGTTTCCTTAGCAGAGGACTGGTCTTGTATGGACGTGTTTGGGTATGATTTGGATCAGTGATGGTTACGTGACAACATTTATGATACCGACAGTTTTGTGTGTTGTTGTTGTTGTTGTTGTTGTTATTGAGTAGTTGTTAGTTAGTAGTAGTTAGCTCAGCTTAAAACGATAACTTGTAGACTATTTTCTTTTACTGCTAGTGGGGTGGGACTAAGCCCCTTGTACTGCGGCCACTTCTGGCCTATTGTACAAGCCCCAGATGATAGGTGAGGGTGATTGTGGAGCAATTGCTGGAATGAAGATTGGCATGGGAAACCGAAGTACCCGGAGAAAACCTAGCCCAGCGCCACTTTGTCCATCACAAATCCCACTTGACCAGACTGGGGATCGAACCCGGGCCGCCGCGGTGGGACGCCAGCGACTAACTGTTTGAGCTATGGCGCGGTAAATTTGTAGATTAACTACATTAAGTTATTTGTTCTTTACAGAAATTTGAAATTTAAGCACATGTGCTTGGTACTTTTAAGTTCCTAACCACCTGAGGCAATTTGTCTAGCAATATGTCCATATTATGTCATGTTTGGATGTCTCGGTGCGCAAATCAGCGATTTGATCCCTCTGGTAAACCCTCGTGTAAGCCTCGGAGGGAGAATTATTTTTCACGAATGGAATGCATTTGCAGCTGGATGGCGGTTAATTTTGAATTGACCAATTACATGACCAAACACAGCCCGCTTCTTTCCCATGATCCTATGCGATCCGAAGGAGCGGAGGTGTTCACGCATAACGGTTTACGCCTCGTGTTCAGGTAATAGTGTTGCATATAGGTGTTGGATTTGTACTTTTTCACAATGCCTGCCAAAAGAGATAAGCGAACGGCAGCTAAAATTACTACTAAAGCAGAAGAAAATCAGAGAAATACAGACGAGCAGGGAACAGAGAAACCCCCAGCAAAAAATAAAGGCAGGGTTCCAAAAGCTAAAGCTGTTGGAGAGCAAGCCGAACAAACTGAAGCTCCGGAGAAGAAGCCGGGACGGGGCAGAAAGAACGTGACAGCTACTAGAACTTCTGATGAAAATGGAAGTGAGGCTGCAAAAAATGTGCCTAAGCGAGGACAGGCATTGAAGAAAACGGAAACTGAAAAGTCTAAAGATACAGGTAATGATGTAACAGAGTTACAGCGGAAAGGGGCTAGTCGAGCGACCAAAAAAGATACCAAAGTTGGTGAGGTAGTGGCGCAGGCAAGAGGAAGAAAAGCCACTAACAAAGGTGCAGGCAATGAAGATGGAGAGCCCGCTGTTAAGAAGTTGCGAAATCCAGCCAAAACTAAAGACAGCAATGAAGCTAAACCGAAGCGTAAGGTGCGGCAGCAGAAGAAGGAGCCTAAGGGCAAAGAAGTGAATGAGGAGGGTAATGAACTCTTAGATAATGGTGACAGTGCCCAAGGTGCAGACAGGAGTGAAGAACTCAGAGTTTCTGTTGAGCATTGGTATGTTTAAAATTTGATAAATACCTTAGGTGTCGTTTATAAATGTGCATAATGTGATTAATATATTCGTGTACCTTTTTTTTTTTTTCAGTAAATCTTGACAAGTGTTCCGCCGCCGGGCTGTGGAGCTGAGTAATGCATTAAGAACTCTGTGGCCTAATATTGAAATTACATTAAATTCTAAAGTACCTAGAAGGGGAGCCTTTGAATTTGTTCTCACCAAAAGTGATGGTTCAGGTATGTACTGTGAAACGATATTGAGGGTTCAGAGTAATTTTTGAGCTCTGCTTGGGCTGTGTGGGCAGTGTAATAGTGCCCAGGTTCTTCCACAGCCATATACCAAGCAATACCCTTTCTGATCTCTCTCACTCTGACCAGTGTTTGTGTTTTGTCTTTCAGTTAGTTTGCAGACTCTGTGTTTGGTTTGTTAGGATGTGTTGGTCTGTTATATGTTGCCACTGACAAGTCATATTATTTTAGTTTTAGAAGTTAATTGTAATATTTACATTCACCTTGTATTTTATTATGCCAATGATGGTAATTATTGTTATACTGAATAATAGTGAAGTTAATGACCCCTTCTTTCTAAGGCAGGGAGATGAGGCTAAACTGTGATGAAAGTGTAGGTAGGGTTAGGGAAATGGCACTCAATTTAACCCTCACAATCCACTTTCATTCCTTATCTGAAAACCATTTTGTAGTAATGTAAGGTAAGGTTAGGTAAAGTTGTTGCTGTGCTTAACTAATAAGCACTGTGCCATGAAGACGCATGGGAGAGTGGGTTTCCTTATGAAATTTGGCTGCAAGATATGATGAATTGAGCTTCATCTGTGAAAATTAAGTGATTTTGAGTCTTGAAATGGTGGCATGTGACGTTATACAGTATATTTTCCAGTTTTACATATAGTTACCAAATAACAAAACTGAGTTTGAGTCTTTCAAAGCGTAAAAAAATTGATTTGTTTCATTTTGGTCCATCACACTAATATTATGAAAAAGCTAAATAGTTCCGTTCAGTGTGACTGGTTAAGATTTTCTTATTTCAATTATTTGCGCCCTTACATGTTTCGGTCTTCAGATACCATCTTCAGAGGGGACACCTTTACATCAATACAGTTAGAAGCCACTATTACAGTACATGTTCTAAAAGTTGAAATATATACATACAATATACCAAATAGCATGGGATGCCCATGAAACTAGTTAGGTTGATTGAAATGTGTTTGAGCGAAACATATAGTAAAGTCTGTGTAGGTAAACATTTGTCTGATAAATTTCCAATCCAGAATAGTCAAAAGCAAGGAGATGCTTTATCGCCACTCCTTTTCAACTTTGCTTCAGAATATGCCATTAGGAAGGTCCAGGGAAACCAGGTGGGACTAAAATTAAATGGGATACATCAGCTGTTGGCCTATGCTGATGATGTGAATCTACTGGGTGATAATGTAGATACCATAAAGAAAAAAACACAAACTCTAATTGACACAAGTAAAGAAGTTTGTCTAGAAGTAAACACTGAGAAAACTAAGTATATGTTGCTGTCTTGTCACCAAAATGCAGAGCATAATCATGATAGAAAGATTGGAAACATGTTTTGAAAATGTGGCACAATTCAGATATTTGGGAACAATAACATTGAAACGATTCAGAAGGAAATTAAGAGGCAATTGAACTCGGCTAATACTTGCTACCATTCAGTCCAGAACCTTTTGTCTTGTTGTCTGCTGTCCAAAAACATAAAAATTAGAATATACAAAACTATAATTTTGCCTGTGATTCTGTATTTGTGTGAAACTTAAGTCTCTGACAGTAAGGGAGGAACATAGACTGAGGGTGTTTGAGAACAGGGTGTTGAGGAGAACATTTTTACCAAAGAGAGATGAAGTGACAGGAGGTTGGAGAAAACTGCGTAGTGAGGAGCTTCATAACTTATACACTTCTCCAAGTATAATGAGAATGATTCAAGTCAAGGAAGATGAGGTGGGCAGGTCATGTAGCATGAATGGGGGAGACAAGGAATGCGTATAGGATATTGGTGGGAAAGCTAGAAGGAAAGAGGCCACTGGGAAGACCAAGGCGTAAGTGGGTGGACAATGTTAGAATGGATCTTAGATAGGATGGGATTGTATGGATTGGATAGATCTGGCTGAGGATAGGGACCAGTGGATGGCTCTAGTGAACATGGTAATGAACCTTCGGGCTCCATAAAATGTTGGGAAATTCTTGTGTAGCTGCAGAATTGGCGGCTCCTCCAGAAGGGCTCAACTCCATGAGTAAGTAAGTAATACCAAATAGCATACTTAGACTTAAACCTAAGTAATAAACACGGCCAAATGGAAATGAAAATATACAGATAACCCACAATGACAGATACAACAATAAATAACTCTTGCCACACCAAAGAACAAAAATTAGTGGCATACAAAAACTGGATACGCAGACTTCTCTCACTACCCTTTAAAGAAAACGCTAAAAACAAAGAGTTAAATACTATTAATGTATCATTAAATAATGACTAAGAAGGAAGACATTACACAACTATATAACAAACAAAAGAAAAATAATCTGGATAATAAAGCCAAAAAAGAACAAAAATAGGCCACATTTACCTATATGGGAAATTACATACAAAAAATCACAAAACTCTTCAAAAACACCTACATAAAAATAGCCTTTAAAACAGCTCACACTATAGGTAAACTAGTAAATGAAAAACGAGAAACAAATCCCTAAGAACAAAGTGGAATATACAAAATAATCTGCCAAAGCTGCCATAAAGTATACTTCGGCCAAACTAGTAGGAACCTAACAACAAGGTACAAGTAACATGTAAGAAACATAAGACTAAACAAAAACGAATTGGCATTTGCCCAGCATATACTAAACAAATGCCACCAGTACGGACCGATGACAGTAATCATGGAAATGGTTGAGAATGCCAAAAAAAAAAAAAAGGAGCATCATGAATATAAAAGAAAATATCCATAATTGAGCTTTAATAAGCTCAACAAATTAATAGAAGAACAAAAACACAAAGAAAATTAAACCATTATAATATGTTCGGCCCTAATACAACATCAGTACACGCCCACGCTAACATCACAGACACAAGGAGTATAAATATGTGGTACAACACAACCTAGAGCAGTAAAAACACAGGCCACAAACACATACAGGACAACATAAAAGGACAAAATAATAAGTTTTTACAAAACATAATAGGATTGATGAAATAATACAATATACCCATAATATATTTGCAGAAACGTCTTCTCGAGAACAAGGTGGCACACATTTGGCCCCCATTAAAAGAAATAATAAGAGGGGCGGCACGAAGCAGCTTGGTTTATGAATTCCAATAGAATTTTAACAAGCTAACTATAAATATTTTAAAAGTGTTTGAACAGCCAGTGTAGTTGTAAAAACTTTAGATTTTACAGCCAATTGTATATTATTTATATTGTATGTATATATTTTAACTTTTAGAACATGTACTGTAATAGTGGCTTCTAACTGTATTGATGTAAAGGTGTCCCTCTGAAGATGGTATCTGAAGACCGAAACATGTAAGGGCGTGAATAATTGAAATAAGATAATCTTAACCAGTCACACTAAATGGAACTATTTAGCCTTTTCTTTGTAAATAAATTATACTTAAATTGTGAAAAAAATCATACAGCTTTACATAACACATGTTGGGTAAAAGACAACCACACAGATATTTGAAGAGACAACAGTTACTGCTTATATACAAGGTGTGTCCCAAAAGTCAGAAATATATTTCTTTCCCATGCTCTGGAGCACGCTGGAACTGGTTGGGTTGGGGGGGGGGCTTTAGCTTCACAGCACGTCCAAGGTCAGTCTGCTCAAGCATCGGAAGCATCAGTATCGCTGATTTAGTGCACCTGTGTTTTGTGACCACGTCACGGCGCGCAG